TTTTAAAGTATACATTACTATAAGTTATTTAATAAACTGTTATTTTGTAATTATAAAGTTTTATTATATGTGCATTTGCGTATTTTTACTTTAGAGAGATAGAACCAACTGTATTGGAAGAGGTAAATAAAAATTGTTTGACATTTGAAGATCATAATGTTTTGCAAGAAGGTGTACCACAAGCATGTTTATTAACAAATACGTTAAAAATGGATGATGAACTGCCAAAGAAAATTAAAGATTTAATCACTGATGTTCCAGATAATATAAATAATTTACTGCTAAGGTATATTAATACAAATATGATTATGCTATACATAAAAAATATTGTATTTAATGTATATAGATACTGATTTCTTTTTCCAATTGTTTTGATTATTATTACAGGTTCATTTATACATCTGTAATATATGATGCACAGCAAATAAAATTACCAATCTTCAAAGATCCCAATAGACCTTCTTGGGTATTTCCTAGAGCATATGGTATATGCACTACAAAAAAGATGTAAGTACTAATCATTCAATTATGTTTCCTTGTATTCTTTTAATTTAAATTCTTAATTTTTATTTGTAAGATATGTTTCAGGCACAATTTGTCAAAGAAATTTTTACAACTTTGTGAATCATTAAATGGACTAGATATTGTACAAGACAGATTAATATTACATGATGGACTATCTTCTGTGTGCATAGGTATACTGTTAAAGGATTAGTATACTAAAACGTAGATTAAATTTTATGTATCATAAATATTGTGCATGTATATGTGATATCTATACAGGTTAAATTAACTCTAGACTCCAAAGTATCTTTGTAATGATAATGTAAAAGAATGTCAACAGTCATATAATACATACTGCAATTATAGTCGATTATTATATAATGCAAGGATATTTATGACACAATATTAAAAGTATTAATTTCAGCGTTTGTTAATTATACAAGTGTTTAAAAATAAGTTGTTTGTTTACAATATTATCTACAATAACACATAAGGCATCCTATATAACTGGGACAAACTTATCTTTAAAACGGTTAGAGATGAAAAAATATGTCATAAGACAAAATTAAATGCTTTAATTAATTAACATTTCAGAATATGCTCCATCCTAAACCACTTAATTTTACCTTATTACATTTTTTTCTTCTGTAACCGTTTTAAACGTACAGCAGGTCTTAGTTGTATGGAACACCTTGTATATTATTAAATATAAAATTTAGTTATATTTTAGATAAAGAAACGGACTTTATAAAGTTTTCGTTAAAAACGGATATAATGATGACATCTTCAGTGCCTTTAACACCAATAGCTGATACAAATACGAATAATGCATTTGACATGCCTAACATTTATCCATTACATGATACTATTGGTTTAACCAAATTAAATACTTGCAAAAGCGAGGATATATATCGTAAGTTCAAATCTAACAATGCTTTTATATGATATTTAAAAAATTTAACATATACATTAATATTACAGCAATCACTATGGAATCTCCATTCATGAATGTTCACACTATCTTTATAAATCATGATCCAGAAGAAGTCAAAAATATAACTGAATTGCCAGTTACTGAAAATCAAATTCATGCACGTTCTATGATAAAATCATTTACTGTAGCAGCAGTTTATGCACGACAAAGGTTTGGATTAAACGTGAAAAAATTACCTGAACCTGTTGTTGTGCAATGTATTCAATCAGATGGACAAAATTTCCATTTCTCTGTGTATCAACTTAATACTTTAGACATTGATGGCAAAGAAGGAATTAGAAATTTTTGGTGGTCAGAACCATCAATAAAATTGTATGAAAAAGCTCAATACGAAAATGGACAACCTTGTCTTGAAGGCTACAATAATGAAGTTTTTAAAAAATTTCTTGCATTTTATAAAAATAGATAAATAAAATAGGAATTAATAATTATTACTAATAAATTATACATTCTTTTCAAAAGTACAAGAGTCATTCAATGAGTAAAGAGACAAATATCTGTTGTAATACAGTTTAATACAGTTTATTCATTAAATCTAACAATTTACCCATTTTTCGACATAATGCCCTGCGACAATTATACACTTGTCCTATTGCTATACTAGTTTTTTTATGCCTGCAACAAAGAATTCTTTGCCTTGAAGTCTGTGCCAGTTTTGGACATTTGTATTCACTTTTTCGTTGTTGTGGAACTTGATTCCACATAATGACTTCTTGAGAGAGCCAAACAAAAAAAATAAGACGGATGCGGCAAAAGCTCTCAGCCTAACATTTTTCAATTTTTTAATTTAATTTAAAAACAACTGTTTTAAATTGATGATAGGAATACCAACTTATGAACTAGAGCTCTTTGTCTCTTTAAATATTGAATGACCATTATATTTATTATATTATTACATCACTTTCAAAGTTATAAATATTCGTAAATTTATTGTAGTTAAATAATTAATTTTTTCACTTATACTATTACTTCGAATATTTATTATACAATCGTTAGTAGATTTTTAAAAATTAAAGTAACTGGGATATTTGTATTAATTTCTTTCTGTTTTATTTGACTTCGATGGTTATTTTGTGGTTTTACCAAATTTTTCAAAGAAATATAAGGTTTGGCATGAAAATATATATGACGTAACGCCTGAAGTAAGAAATGTTTTAATTGTGATTGCTGATTTTGATTACTTTATTTATTTTATTACTTACTTCATCAGCTGTCAAACGTTTTGTTGAATTGTAAATAAGAATTTTACTAATGAGGTCAACAGCTTCTGGTTCAGTGTCTTCAATGATACTTTCCCATGTTATTCCTTTATGATAAGGAAATGTTATCTTATTATAATCAGGCAATATACTTAAATCTGGCCAAGTTTCTGATGTAGGTGATCCTAAATATTTTAAAACCATTGCTAACTGCTCTATATCTGTTTCCCCCTGCAAGTTTATTAAAGAAAATATATTATATACTTATTATCTTCACAAGTAATATAAATATTAAAATCAAAAAAGAAATGAAGAAAATAAAAATATTTTACATCATACTGGAAATAATGGTGACTTGTTAAGTAGTTCTCCAAGAATGCAACCTATAGACCACATATCAATTGCTGATGTATAATATCGTGCACCATATAATAATTCAGGTGCTCTGTACCATCTGGTGGCAATTTGATGAGAATATGGTTTTGCCATATTTTTCCATAATAATCTCCCCAAACCAAAATCAGCAATTTTTAAAATACCTTTCCCATTAATTAGTAAGTTTGCAGGTTTTAAATCCTAAACATATTGTTTTAAAACTTTCATTAAAATTCAATTGAATTTGAAATGTAAAAAATAACTGAACTAATAACAACATTCTATATATAAATTGAAAGCATATCTAATTAAATCTTATTAGTATAAAATACTTATAATTATTCTAATTTGTGTCAAAAATGTTAAAATTTGTTACCCTATGTATTATATTTTTTCTGTGTATGTATGCAATACCCTCCAAAATCATTTTTGTATAAGTTTTTACTTGAACTGGAGTCAATGATATATCATTGTCCTTTATTATCTCCCATAAACCTGTAGGCATATATTCAAAAACCATTATAAAATCTAAACCAACAGGAAAGGCATCTAATAATTCTACAACCTGTAATAAAGTTTTTATGCAATTTATTTTTATATTGTGAATATATGAATTTTATTCTTAAAGAAT